GGGGGAGCATTTAGGAACTAGAGGAAATCAACTGCTAATCTTATTTGCTAATGCAACCCCATTCAGCAGCTCCATGGGAGAGAACCATGGCAATTTTCTCTGGAAAAAGTTATTCATCACTATTGAGTCAATTCCAACTCATAGAGATAGATTTCTGATATTATCTTTTGAAAAAATTCATTTTCGGGGGCTCTTAAAGCTCTTATAGCATTCCATACACAATTGTATCAAGCATACATGTACATACATTCATCATCATTTTCTAAACATTTACTTTCTATTTGAACCCTTGGTATCAAGATTCTCTTCCTCACTCATGACAACTTAATAAATTATAAATTATTATTTTCATATCTTACACCGACCACTGTCTCTCTTCACCCACATTTCTGTTGTTCATTTCTCTGAGGGGGGATGTCACTCGTCGATCATTGAGATCGGTTCCTCCTTCCTCCCCTCATCTCCCCACCTTCCCCCTACCCTCGTGGTATCACTACTCCCAATTCTGTTACTGAGGGGTTTATCTGACCTGATTCCATGAATCAAGAGCTATTATCTGTTCCAGTGTACATGCTCGTCTAGCCAGAACTGAAAGGCAGGACTGGGGTCATGATAGTGGTGGGTGAGGAAGCCTCAAAGAACCAGAGGAATATTGTGTGCTTCATTGGTTCTATACTGTGCCCTGGTTGACTCATCCCTTCCTGTGACCCTTCTGTGAGGGGCTTTCCAATTGTCTACAGAAGGGCTCTGGGTCTCTACTCTACCCTCCCCCTCATTCACATTGATATGATTTTTTGCTCTGGGTCTTTGATGCCTGATACCTGATCCTATCTACAGCTCATGATCACACAGGCTGGTGTGCTTCTTCCATGTGGGCTTTGTTGATTCTCAGCTAGATGGCCACTTGTTTATATTCAAGCTTTAAGACCCCAGATGCTCTATCTTTTATTAGCCTGGCACCATTGGCTTTCTTCACTACATTTGCTTATGTACCCATTTGGTCTGCAGTGATTGTGTAGGGAGAATGAGCATCAGAGAGGCCAGGTTGTTAGAAGAAAGTATTCTTGCATTGAGGGATGGCTCCACTTCCTCAATGATGTATTTTTTTATCTTTAGAGGGGCCCAGAGCCTCATCTACTTCCTAAGGAATAGCTAGTTTGTTTGCAGTCCTACCTATGTCTCACTCACAGTGTCACCAGAGCTACTGGTAAAGGTTACAGACTAGAAAATTCTACAGGGCATTTCTTCTGTTACATAGAGTCATTCTCCTAATTATTTAGTGCTGCTATAACAGAAATTCCACAAACAGGTGGCTTTAACAAACAAAATTATTTTCTCACAGATTTGAAATTCAAAACCAGGATGCTAACTCTAGGGAAAGGCTTTCTTTTTTATAACACTGGAGGAAATCTGTTTCTTCTAGGTCTCTGCTCCTAGTGATCTTCATGTGGCTTGACATCTCTCTTCCCATCTATACTTACTTTCTTTTAGTATTTTTATATTTCAAAAGAGACTGGTGATACTCCCGGCCATAACCCTGTCTCATTAACACACCAAAAACAACCCATTCCCAATAGGATTATAACCACAGGCACAGAAGATTTATAACACATATTTTCTAGGAACAATCCATAGCATCCATAACAGTGTCTATGAATCCAAATAACTCAATGGCACCTAACAACAACAATTTCAATTTGGAGCAGATGAGTATTGATTGACACAGCTAGACAAATGAACAGATAGCTCACTCTTGTAAAAACTATTGGTTACTCGAAAAGATCTTATCGCCTTTCAAAATGAATGTTTTATTATCAGTTGCGATGCTAAATTCACGATTTTCTGAAAAGTTTATTTTAATCATATTATTAATCTCATCTTTAGTATAGTTTTCCAGTATATGACACATGTTTTTTATTTCTCAGGTTTGACCTCAGTTCCAAGCAACATTCCACTTGATACTCGAATGGTAGACCTTCAAAACAATAAAATCAAGGAAATAAAAGAAAATGATTTTAAAGGGCTCACTTCACTTTATGTAAGAAAATTACATTCCTATTTTCAAATGTTTAAGTGAATAATCTATATCACTGCTGAAATGATTAATTGTATCATTTTAGTGGAAACAATTTTTACTTTTATATGGTATGAGTGCAGGATGAGAAAGCCACTATTATTCAACAGTTTCCTAGTAAATAAAAAAGTATAGCTTTAATGGATTATATTTTATTACTAAGCATACTGAAATATACTTTTCTTACTATGTAGTATCTTTTGCTTATACTGAAAAATAAAGGGAAAGAGGAAGCTTAGCAGCTTGGTGGATCACAAAAATGGTTATGAATCTTCATGTTATAGCACAAACGATTACTATTATTTTATTTGTAAGGAAATAAGCACAATTATAAGCAGTAACTTGCCATCAGTTCCCTGGCATCAGATTATACAGCCTAGTTGCCGTTAAGCCTTTGTTTTGTCCTTTTATAAATTGTATTATGAAATAGGGCAAGCACATAAAAAGTCATAAAGCACACACAATTTGTGAATAGCTGTAAAGAATACTGTATTCTGTTTCAACAATCACCGAGTAAAGCACAGAACATTGCCGAGATTCCACCACTGTGACCGAAGTGAATTGCCATCTTTACTTTTAGGATATCAAGTCCCTTGTTTCCTTTATAGCTTTCCCAATATTTGCATTTCCTTTAAAAACACAGATTCCTTTACCTGCTTGAGAAATGCTTACAAAACACAGGAAGTACAGGACAGATAAACCTCTCAGGACCATGAGAGTAGCAATACCAGGAGGGTAAGGGGAAGCTGAGGTAGAAAAGGGGAACAGATCACAAGGATCAACATATAACCCCCTCCTTGGGGAACGGACAACAGAAAAGTGGGTGAAGGGAGATGTCAGAGAGTGTAAGACATGACAAATTAATAACAATTTATATTTATCAAGGGTTCGTGACAGGGGGGGGCGGGGAGGGGAAAAATGAGGAGCTGATACCACAGGCTCAAGTAGAAAGAAAATGTTTTGAGAATGATGATGGCAACAAATGTACTTGACACAATGGATGTATGTATGGATTGTGATAAGAGTTGTATGAGCCACCAATAAAATGATTTTAAAAAGAAATGGTTACAAATAAAAATCGTACTGAATGCATTCTTTTGCTATACAGTTTTTAGATAAAATTTATAGGTAGTCTACCAGTTCTGTTGCTGTATTATATTCCATTGTAAATACCACATAACCAAGCTACTCTCCTATGGATCCACTTGTTTTGACTCTGGCTTTGGGTAGTCACAGACAATGCAGCCATGAAAACCTTTGGCTTTGCACATGTGTTCTTTCTGTGTATCAGGCTTCCCTGTCTGACCCCCCAAGTATGACTCAGTAAATTTCAACCATAATAAGTATGGTTTTTAGTTTTATTCTTTTTTCCTCTGATTCAGACATGATATTGTTGGAGCTGCATAAAAGAATAAGTAAAACAAAGTAAAGGGAAAGTTTTATTTAGCACTATTAAATGTTGCCACAGATTGGCATTGTCTCCAGTTAAACCATATTTTCAGTGTAGGCTTTCATGTGAAAATCACAAAAGTGGGAGTCATAGGTTTCCAAATTCATCATTAGCAAACAATGTGGCTATACGTAAAGAAGGAACATGGGGAAATTATAGCCTTTCAAAAGTAGGACAAGAGGTCTCCATAACGAATGTGGCTATAATAATGAGTTGGAAGTAAACTGTGAATAACTGCTTGTGTGTGTGTGTGGTTTTTAAATGATCTGACTTGTTCTCTAATACCTTATTATCTATTGTTGTAAGAACCAGAAGGCCATACGAGAAGCTAAAATTTAATATAGAGAATTTATAGGCTATCTGAAAGCATTTTTTTTAAACCAAGTACTTTATATGGTGATATTTTTCCAAATCATGGTGATATTATAACTAAATAGATGTTTGAAAATGACCCAATATGTACACAATACAAGCAAGTACAAAGCATATGGTTTTACAAGTATAAAAATTAGTACCTTATAATTCAGTTGGCTAACACTAAACTGATGGTAGCAACAGTTAACAGTTTAGATTTTGCCTCTATTTTTTATTATTATTCATTTTATTGGGGGTTCATACAACTCTTATCACAATCTATACATACATCAATTGTGTCAAGCACATTTGTACATTCATTGCCCTCATCATTCTCAAAACATTTGCACTCCACTTAAGTCCCTGGTATCAGCTCCTCATTTTTTCCCCTCCCTCCCTGCTCCCCCCTCCCTCATGAGCCCGTGATAATTTATAAATTATTATTTTGTCATATCTTGCACTGTCCGACATCTCCCTGCACCAACTTTTCTGTTGTCCGTCCCCAGGGAGGAGGTTATATGTAGATACTTGTAATCAGTTCCCGCTTTCCACCGCCCCCCCTCCACCCTTCTAGTATCAGCACTCTCACCACTGGTCCTGAAGGGATCATCTGTCCAGGATTCCCTGTGTCTCCGGTTCCTATCTGTACCAGTGTATATCCTCTGGTCTAGCCAGATTTTTAAGGCAGAATTGGGATCATGATAGTGTGTGGGGAGGAAGCATTTAGGAACTAGAGGGAAGTTGCATGTTTCATCATTGCTACACTGTACCCTGACTGGCTTATCTCCTCCCCGCGACCATTCCATAAGGGAATGTCCAATTGCCTACAGATGGGCATAGAGTCGCTACTCAGCACTCCCTCTCATTCACAATGATATGATATTTTGTTCTGATGATGCCTGATACCTGATCCCTTCGACACCCCGTGATCACACAAGCTGGTGTGCTTCTTCCATGTGGGCTTTGTTGCTTCTGAGCTAGATGGCCGCTTGTTTACCTTCAAGCCTGTAAGACTCCAGACACTATATCTCATGATAGCTGGACACCATCAGCTTTCTTTACCACATTTGCTTAAGCACGCACATTGTCTTCAGCGATTGTGTCGGGAAGGTGAGCATAATGGAATGCCAGTTTAATAGAACAAAGTATTCTTGCATTGAGGGAGTACTTGAGTAGAAGTATTTACCTCTTTTTATTGTATACATAATATTAGCTTATTAATTTTAATAACCACTCTAAGAATTAGATTGTATGACACTGATTTTACAGCTGCAATGAGTGAGGCTTAGGGAGGGTCAGCTCTTTTTTGCAGTCTAACTATGCATGTGGTGGAGCCAAGAACTGACACCAAGTCGGCCTACCTTCAAATTTTAATGAAATAATATATGATCATTTCAATTTAAAATGTCATTAGTTATTATTCTTATAGTTATGCAAGCTGAATATGAATCGAAGAAGTAGTTGAAGTAGTTAGTTATAAGTTATAATTCCATTGTCTGATGGTAGGAAAATGGTAAAACCATTCTCCAAATGTTCCTTGGCTCTAAAATTATAGAGTGAATTGGTTGGAATACATTTTATTATTGTTGATTATCTTAATATTTAAGTGATGACTTAGTTATAAAATAAATATATTCTCTTCCACATATATTTCAAAGCTATACATAAAATACACACATATATATTTTCTCAAAGCTGTATTTGTGAGGAGTCTTACCAAATCAGAGTGGTCTGGATATATGCTTAAAAAGAACAAGGTCCCACAGAGCCCCATGGACATGATAACACAGTGGGAAAAACATGGCTCTGCTCTTTGTTATGTACATTTGAGGATTAAGCAAGAAAACAAAAGTGAAGAGTATCTTTCACTCTGCCTAGGAAATAGTTAGTTCTCAATAAGCATTAATGCCTTCACTAGAACTCAGTAGTTACTTTCCCCTCCCTGCTTAGAAGTATAAGCAAGGGCACTGCATTGACCTCTATGGTGATCTAGCGAAGGGGATGAACCAGCACTTCAAAATTACACCTCTATACAGGAAGATGAGGCTTAACTTGGTTGTGATTATTTACTACCTTCTCCTCTCAGTGTTGTAATTTAAATGGAGATGGCAGGCTTAATCTTTGTTTTCTCTTAGAATGTAGAACAAAACTAGAAGAGACACATTGGCTTACACCCCAGCACAATACAGACAAGAAGCTTCTCAAAGATTAGCTAAATTCAAAAAGATGAGATGAGCTTTTATACAAATGAAAAAGGTATAAAATAAGCAGCCAAACCTTTGCACTGTTCCAACACAGTAGAAATTTTGTTGTAGTTTAGATTGGATTGCAAAATTATTTCCATGGTTAATTAAGTATATGAATGATAAAAATTAAATTTATTTTCATGATTGTCTAATCATAGGTTATAGAAGAATCAAATATTCGCTTAACTTTCTATGTTCTATCTAGGGTCTGATTCTAAACAACAACAAGTTAACAAAGATTCACCCAAAAGCCTTTCTAACCACAAAGAAGCTGCGAAGGCTCTATTTGTCCCATAATCAACTTAGTGAAATACCACTTAATCTTCCCAAGTCATTAGCAGAACTTAGAATTCATGATAATAAAGTTAAGAAAATACACAAGAACACATTCAAAGGAATGGATGCTTTACATGTTCTGGGTAAGTTTTCAAATGAATGAATATCTTGAAATTATAAGTAATAAGCAAATATAAAGAAATGCATCATTATTAACAAATACTACAACTGATAATTCCCAAAATATATTTTTGAATCTTATAATCCTTACTTAGCATAGTCATTTAAAACTCAACTCAGTATCAAACAAAATTTATAGCACTTAAAACATATGACTTTGTAATCTCCTTTGAAACACCTAAAATACCTAGTGTGGTTTCTGTATTCTAACTAGACCTCACTTGAAGACATCTATATTATTCTTATTAATTTAAAGGTAGTTTTTGTTTTGTTTTGTTTTACAGAGTAAAATTGTTCCATGGACTTTATTGCATGTGACATTTATGGAAGCACATTTGAAATTTTTAAGAAAATATTTAATAGTAGCTATTGCATCTTATCAGAAAACGTAATAACTAAATTAACATTAATGCTTCTAAGAATGACCATTGGATTAGGCGTTAACTATTCGATCTCTCTAATGTATAGTTTTCTCCTTAAAATTTAAAGTTTAGAAAAAATGTTTAATCACTTTATTGGGGGCTCATACAACTTTTATCACAATCCATACATACATCAATTGTGTCAAGCACATTTGTAAATTCACTGCCTTCATTCTCAAAACATTTGCTCTCCACTTAAGCCCTTGGTCTCAGCTTATTTTCCTGCCTCCCTCATGAACCCTTGATAATTTATAAATTATTATTATTTTGTCATGTCTTACACCATCCGATGTCTCTTCACCCACTTTTCTGTTGTCCATCCCCCATGGTTATATGTAGATCCTTGTGATCGGTTCCTCCTCTCTACCCACCCCCTCTCCACTCTCCCGGTATCACCACTCTCACCACTGATCCTGAAGGGATCATCTGTCCTGGATTCCCTGTATCTCCGGTTCCTATCTGTACCAGTGTACATCCTCTGGTCTAGCCAGATTTATAAGGTAGAATCGGGATCAGGTTGGGGGAGGGCATTTAAGAACAGAGGAAAGTTGTATGTTTCATTGTTGCTACACTGCACGCTGACTAGCTTATCTCCTCTCCGGAAAGGTAGTTTTAAAAATGGATTCTATAAACTACTCAAATTAACATATCAAATTAGTTGAGATACTACTTAAAATATACACTAGCTTTTGATTAGTTTTAAGGTATCTTTTTGGATTTGATTTAAGATATCTTCTAGATTATTGATAGAAGAAATGTTTGTGCTGTATTTTAAAATTCTATCCTATTTTACTTCTACCACAATCACATATCTACAGTATTTCTTTTACACTGTCTCTTAAAAATTCCCAAATAATACTTCCATTGATCAAATTCCCAAGTAATACTTCATTTGCTCCATTCAAACAAACAAATACCTGGTATTTATCAAACAGCCACACTTAGCAAAAATTATCCAAAACTATATTTCTTCTAATTAAATCACAATTTCCAAATGACTTAAATTTTAAGTTTATTATTGTTCTTGTCATTCTTGTATGTTATTAAGTCAAATCTGACTCATAGTAAACCTCTAGAAGAGTAGACCTGCTTCATCAGACTTCTTTTAGGTACAAAATAAAATGTACAGTAGAAATAAATAAATAAAATGTACACTAGCTAACAGAAAGAAACACTTTATGTTAAATAAAGGATGATCTATTTCTGATGTAATGCTACTATAATGAAACCTTTATCATGTTCATGGTTGGAGGAGGGTAGCAGCAAGTTACGGATTTAGTAATTCAAAGCAAAATAATGAGCATGTTCTATATTCCAACTTATGTCATTTTCTGAGGCTGGCAGAGAGGAGAGAATACAGATATAGAAACAGATGTATGGAGTGAAAAATGAGCTGAATAATGAAGTGCACATGAATCAGAACTGGGATGTGTATCACTGTGTGGTAAATTTCCTTCATATACAGTATGTACATGCTAAATTATACAATTTCCCCCACAGAAATGAGTGCAAACCCTCTTGATAATAATGGGATAGAAACAGGGGCATTCGAAGGAATGACAGTATTCCATATCAGGATTGCTGAAGCAAAACTAACTTCAATTCCTAAAGGTCTGTATTTACTTTCTAATATAGAAAATATTGAAAAATTGATATAATTTAAGGGCATTAAATGTTATTGTAAACTGTACAATATATACACTGTGTAAACGAAACTGTTATTGGAAATCTTTTTTAGTAGTATACGTGGTCAGTACTATATGAAATTTAGCATTTTCTCAAAGATATGTGAAGTGCTTTATTTTTTTAAAGTCTTGAGGCAAAATTTTTGTTTCTCTAGAATGAACAAATATTAAGAATCAATTAGTGGTTTCTTTTCATTCCTTTTGCTTGTATTTATTTATCTATACTTGCTATTCTATGAAGTATTTGTCAATCGAATCCAAACTCACTGTCATCAAGTCAATTTTGGGCTCATACTGACACAATATGACAGCCCCTCGACTTCAAGTCTTTGTGAGAGCAGACAGCCTAATCTTTTTCCTGCAGAGCACCTGGGAAGAAAGGGGTGTTCAAACAGCTGGCCTTTCAGTTAGCAGATCAGTATGTAGGACTCCTTGACGTACTTGTTGGACGTGGTCAATTTCTTAACGAAGAAAGCAGAGAAGATGAAAACCAATACCCAAGCAGAGAGGTGGTGGTTAGGTGTGAAGCCTGGAAGGGACGCTGGGGTACGGCACTCCATCAGACAATGGGGATAGCATAAAACCTAGCAGTTGCACTCTATGGTATTTCCCCTGCGGAAACAAAGACCATAGCACGACCAGTTAGAGGCACACTCATATTCATCACAACACTATTCCTAATAGCAAGAAAATGGAAATAAACTAAATGCCCAGCAGAGGAAGAATGAATGTATACATAAACTTTGGTTTATATGCTCAATGGAATACTACCCATCATTAAAGAATAATGATGAAACTGTGAGGCACCTCATAACATGGTGGATTTGGAGGACATTATGCTAAGTGAAATTAATCAAACACAAAACTACAAATACTGTATGAGACCACTGTTATATTTTTAAATCAAAAAAGGTCTTCTTACCAAAAGAAACAGACTTTAATGGTTACCAAGGGTGAGAGAGGAAAGGAGGGAAGGGGAAGCAACATGCTTGAAGGCAGACAGGTGTTAATTTAGGTGAAGAGGATGATAATATACTACTAGAAGGAAGTGATGGGGATGGGAATGGGGAACAGGGTATGTCACTGGAAGGTTTGTTAAGTTGTTGAATGCAAACGACTATCTGATATGTAAACCCAATTCAAAATAAAAAGTTGTAAGGGAAAAAAAGAAATACTATATGGGATTAAATTTACAAGGGCAATTAGAAAGAGTACGGACAGCAAGTTTATTCTAATGAGAAGGAAACAACTCAGAAAAGGAAGGTGATAATGACGGCACAACTTGAAGTAATCAACATCAGTAGATTGTACTTGCAAACTGTGGGATTGGTGTATATTTCACTGTGTATCTTTTCAACAACTACAAAATAAATAAATTTTAAAAGAAAAAAACACCTAGAGTCAGTTCGCCAGCAGATATACTAGAGTGGGAAATTCACTGGCTCTTATGGATATATGAATTGCTAGTTCTCTCTGTGAGGCAAAGGCAGATCAGTGGTAGAATGCTTCCATGGGAAACCTACGTTTAATGCCTTGTGAATACACCTCATGTGCAGCCACTACCAATCTGTCAGTGAAGGCTTGCATTTTGCTTTGATGTTGAATAGATTTCAGGAAAACTTCTAGATTAAGGCAGTCAAGGAAAAAAGGCCTGGTGATTACTTACAAAAATCAACTTTAGAGAGTCCTATGGATCTTAGCAGTCCATCCACTGTGTGTGGGGCTGCCATCAGTCAGAGGTCAACAAGGAGGCATTGGTAGAAATTATGCTGAAGATCATATAATGGAAGTTTCAGTGATGAGTGATTCACTCACAACAAGTTGGTTTTTTCAACAGCCCAAACAGTGACTATACACATGAACCTTGCTAGATGAAATACACAATACTCAAATAAACTATATCTGTGGCAAAACATGTTGAAAAAGTTCACTATCATCAGTCATAGCAAGGCCATGGCTGGTTGCAAAACAGACCATCACTTGCTCATATGTAAGTTCAAGTTCAAGGTAAAAGGAATTTTTAAAAGCCCACAAAAGCTGAATAAAGAGTATATCTCATCTCAAGCTGAGATGAGTATATGAATATATCTCAAGTTGACGTTGGGTATATCTCATCTAAATTTAGAGACCACCTCAAGAATAAATTTGATGCATTGAAAATTAAAAACCACTTTCCATGTAACCATGATGGCTGATACTACTAGCAACCTATTGCAGCTGCTGTCTCTGGAGCTTGTATATAAATGTATACGCTCAAGAATTCACAATATAATGAAGAATGATAAGGAAATTATTGGCATGCTTCTAAGTTTTTGATGACTTTTTCGATATGATCTTGGAAGATGTCACTGAATTTGAAATCACATAAAAAGGAAGAAGGATTACTAAATTAGATAAGATTTTGCTAAATGGAAATAACATAACAATGCTGGTTTTGGAGAAGGACCTGAAGTATGAATAGATTTTCTTGACTTATGCTTGCTTCTATTTTGCTTCATAAAGGCAAAAAGATGGTTTCTTAAAAACTTCTTAATTTTGAGATTCTATGATGCTTAGTTTCTTGTTAAAGGGAAATACTTTTAAGGTACTTGGTAAATGCCAATTTTTGTGTAAGGTAATTATGATTACCTTGGGAGAAAAAATGCAAATAGTTTGTTGTTTGAAGATGAAAATAAAGGGTTTTTTGGTTAAAAACAAGAAAAAAATGAATAGCTAAAGACAATAAGGGCTGTGGAATAACATCAAGGACAAGATAAATGAAGAAAGAGTGTCTGGGGTCTTAAAGGCTTAAAGTTAAACAAACAGCCATCTAGTAGGAAAGCAACACAGCCCACATGGAAGAAGTACACTGGCCTGTGTGATCACAAGGTACCAACTGGATCAGGTTTCGGGCATCAGAAGACCCAAAACAATCATATGGATGTGCCCGAAGGGAGGCTCAGAGTGGAGACCCAAAGCCCATGTATAGACAATTGGACCTCCCCTCACAGAGGGTCACGAGGAAGGAACAAGCCAGCCAGGGTGCAGTATAGAACCAAGGAAACAAACCAATTCTACCTTAAAAATCTAGCTAGACCAGAGCATATATACTGGTACAGATGAGAGCTCATGACACACAGAATCTAAGAGATAAACCCCACAGGAACAGTAATGGGACTAGTGATTACTATGTTGGTAGGGAGAAGGTGGGGGGGAGAACGGTAGGGGGGAAAGGAGGAATGGATTGCAATGACTGACATATAACCCCTCCCTCCAGGGGGACAAACAACAGAAACCTGGGTGAAGGGAGACAGCTGACAGTGTAAGATATGAAAATAATAATTTATAATTTATCAAGGGTTTACGGGGTGGGAGAGTGGGGGGAAGAGAAGCTGACATTAAGGGCTCAAGTAGAAAGAAAATGTTTTGGAAATGATGATGGCAAAATATGCACAAATACAGGGCAATATATGACAGAATAACAATTTATAAATTATCAAGGGCTCATGAGGGAGGGGGAAGCGGGGAAGGAGGGGAAAAATGAGGACCTAATGTCAGGGGTTTAAGTGGAGAGAAAATGTTTTGAGAATGAAGTACAAATGCGCTTTACACAATTGATGTGTGTATGGATTGTGATAAGAGTTGTATGAGCCCCTAATAAAATGTTTTAAAGAAATGCACAAATGGGCTTGATACAATTGATGTATGGATGATTATAAAAGCTGGAAGAGCCCCAATAAAATAATCCATAAAAAGATAAACAAAGCAATCTCTGTGTAAGAGCCCTCCTCGACACCCCCCTTCAAAGAAAAGAAAAGATAAATAAAGTAAGAAAAAAGTTGTTGAAAACACAGGGAAGAAAGAAAAGATAAAAATCGATGTCAGGCAAATTTTTGAGATTTGCTTTTGCACAGAGGAGCTAAAATGAATGGAAGAACTTATTAAGCCAATGAGCCGAACAGAAGGTTTCAAGAGCTCAGGTAGACAAAGTAAAGCATAGTAATGAACTGTGAAAAGACCAAGAGTTAGAAAGTTAAAAGAGAAGAACACACTTGGCAGTTTCCAAGCTGAAAAAACTGCAGAAAATATTAAGCCTCAAGTTACAATATTGAATAATTCTATTAGGATCCCTGGTGGCACTGTTAGGTAAGATTGGCAGTTCAAGTCCATCAATCACTGTGAGGAGAAAAATGAGATGAGGCTATCTACTCTCAAATATTTACAGATTTGGCTTAAAACCTCATCCAAGTGGCCATCTAAGATGCAATGATTGGTCTCTCTTATCTAGAGGGGGGAAAAAAGTGAAGAATGTGAAAAGCGAGAAACAAAAAGCCCAGTGAATACAGTACACAACATCAGTCTTCATGACCCTGAGACTGAAAGAACGAGATGGTGTCTGATTACCACTACCAGCTGCTCTGAACGGGATCGTACTAGAAGGTCCAATATAGTGTGGGAGAAAATTGTGGAATAAAACTCAAAACCATGAAAAATACCAGGCTTACAGCTCAGCTAGAGCCTGGAAAATCCCCAAGACAATGGCCTATAGTTTGATACCCTTCAAGTTTAAAAATGATCTCATCTCATGGTCAATTTTCTGCCAAGCAATAGCTTTCTTTCTTTTTTTTTACAATAGCTTTCTTAAGGAAACAATAACATTATGGAAATGGAAGTACACCCAGAGCAACAAACCATTTGAGATATATATATATATATAGAGAGAGAGAGCATTTATGTAAGGGTAAAGTTCAAAAGGATTAGCAAAGAAAAGGGAATAGATATATAGATATGGAAAACACAAGGAGAAATTAGATTAAGTAATGAAACATGAAACAAAATATGTATGAATTGAATGGGAAACTGTATAAAATTTTATAAACTTTCACCCAATTCACAGTAAGTAGTTTAAAACACACACACACACACACACAATGCAAAAAAAGACTGAATAGAAGACACATTAAGCTATTGTACAAAAGGACCTATCTGCAGAAATTTGTAATTTATATGCACCTCCCATTAAAAAATGGTTCAGTTAGTGAAAGTAAATTAATTTTGTATCTGTGTAAGCCTTCAATATTATAGCTTACCCATTTAAACTGGACATGGAGCCAAATATTTGATCCATTTAGAATAATAAGTATTAAAAAAGCAATGGGCTTTTCCCAATTGATGTAACATGTCATTTTTTTTCCCTTATCAATAGAATTACCATCAACTTTACTGGAGCTTCATTTAGATTATAATAAAATTTCAAATGTGGAGCAAGAGGATTTTAAACGATATAAAGATCTACAAAGGTGTAGTACTTATGATCATATTAACAAAACCTTCTGAAGAACTGTATTCAGGACTCAAGTTAAGATAATCATCTCCTAGAACTCTAGAGGACAGAGGAACTGCCCCTTTGGGTTTCCAAGACTTTAAATTTTACAAGAGTAGACAGCCTCGTGTTTCTCCACTGGATCATCTGGTTGGTTCAAATCACTGACCTTGTTAGCAGCTTCATGTATCACCCACTAAGACACCAGAACTCCATATAGGGTCACCACAAGGTCACTATGAGTTAGAATCAACTCAATAGCAGTGAGTTTAGTTTTGAGTACAGATTCTCATTGCTGCTACTGGAGAGTATGAAGGAAAGGCAAAAAGGGTGAACTATTATTGCTGCTTGTGCTATAAGGTTGATTTACAGCCTTGGAAAGTGGCTACAAGGTCACTATGAATAGGAGTCAACACTATGGGAGGGGGGGCTGGAAATGCTAATAAAAGAGGGAAACAAAGTAGACAGAAAAGGGATACTTTCAATTTTCCCTTTTGTTTTAAGATTAAATTATTTTCTGATAGTGAGTCTTTAGAGGGCTGTTACATAATTAAATAGGTTATTAAGTAAAATAATGAAATATAGTACAAGCTTATCTTTCTAATCAAGTTGTTGTGTCTTTGTTTAACTTAGGTTACAGTATTTTATACCTACCCATCTGCTTAAGAGTTTATACATTTTATATCATTTTTAGGCTGGGCCTAGGAAATAACAGAATCACTGATATTGAAAATGGAAGTCTCTCAAGTTTGCCGCGCATAAGAGAAATCCATTTAGAAAACAATAAACTTAAAAAAATTCCTTCAGGATTACAAGAATTGAAATACCTCCAGGTAAAACAGTCTATTTCTATTTGGTATATATTAGTACACTTAAAAAAAAATAAAATATATTAACATCTTCCAAAACTAGATTCCAGGTCTTTGTATGCTCAATACAGTGTGATATTCTAAATTAGTATAATTTTTTTTATTCAAAAAAGCATATACAATTAAAAGAATGTTAGTAATTAGAGATTACAGAGTTCACAATTTATCGTTTCTTATTCATTACTGAACATATTTCCCACCCAATCTAATAATTCTTAACTAGATAAGAGAGGTCACAGATTCTTTTTGAGATTCTGAAGAGGTCCCCTAGGAAATATTAACAATAAGATTTCAATTTTAGGAGTCTCCCATCTATTGACCTCAGGTACAGAATCTGTACAAACTCCCATTTTCACCTTAATATGTTTTTTGGGGTGCTGTATGCGAGAACAGAACTGGGCCCTGAGCTATTTTGCGTCTTCTAATTTTCTTTTGGGTTAGCTTTAAAAAATTTTAATTACTGCATTTCCTTGAAAGCTTAGTTATCCAAACAGACATGCTATGAGCAGATTTGGCCTCAAGGTTTTGACCTCTGGCTTTGAGTTGTTCAGATGCTGCCTTTGTCTATGTGACTAAAAGCATCAGCAGTATCCTTTCTCAATCAAACTATAGCAACTCAGGTCGCATTTTTGCTTACTTTACTCCACATCTCTGTTCCCAGCTTCTGGTCTCTTTCAAATCTACACTTGCTAGCATTTATTTTTCTTTTCAATGAACAGAATCATAACACAAACAGAAAAAAACACATTGTATACCATCCAATGAATTATCACAAAGTAAACATAGCATATCCAATCATTTCCACTCCCAGTAAAGTCAGTGCTGTGGGCCAGGTACTAATATTGAGCTAGTGGGGAAACATGCCAGAAACAAATACAGCATTGGCCACAAAATCTCTGAGACAAATGCAAGACACGGGGGTACCTAATACCAAGACTAAAGGTTTCTCACAATGCTTACTTTCCATGCACTGCTCAAATCTATCATAGCAAGATATAAAAGCAAAATCTAGAAGTAACAATAGTCAGAAGCTTAAATCCCAGCTTTGGGGGGAAAAGGTTCCTAATTTTTTACATGCCAAAGTGCTGTGAATTAATTAGATTGATTTGACTTCCCCCAAATTTCCCTATTGCCAAAAAAAGGTGAAAGAAGGAATTTCAAGGGCTGTTAAGGGGATGACTCTATAGTTGCTACAGGGTCTACAGGGTTGTTATTAACTCAACATTTACTCAATAGCAGTGAGCTTAGAGTTTAAGGGGGTGAAGGAAAGTTCCTATACTCACCACTAATTTATAGGCAACATTTTAATTTAAAAAGACATGTGCATAGCCTTGTTGCACACCCTTGGACTGGCAGCAGAAGCAGCTCTGGAGGGCACAAGTCAGATGGCAAGCAGGGGCTAGGAGCAGACGGAGAAGGAAGACAGCCCACAGAACAGTTCTACTCTGTCCTATCAGAAGGGTCCTATGAGTCAGAACCAACTAGGTGGTAGTCAATTTAATGTGGGGTATGCAATGTGCATGCAGGGGAGCAGCCAGGAAAAAGCAGGTCTTACTGATGAGGGTGAGGTTGTTTTTACATTCGTCAGTGGGCCTCAGCTGATGCTACCAGGAGGGCAGGTGTTTGGGAGCTAACACATTCTTCGCTAACTTATTGTAAGCCAAATCCTTGGAGCATTAACTCATTCTGCTCACTTCCAATATTTTAAATATGTCTCTAAAATTAACTCTTTTCTCTGTGTGTCTCTTGTTTATATCCCTCTCAAAATATACAACGGAGCCTCCCAAAGTCCATGGAAAAATTCAATTCTTTCTATTCTACTTTTCCATGAACTATTTCAAGCCCTTTCACTTATATATACATACAGGAGGGCTTCAAAAAGTTCATGGAAATATTTCTGCTGAAGTATTCTCTGGCTGACTTAATGGTTTTTGAGATTTACTTTTCATTGAAATTGTGTATTTGGTTTTGGTCAGTAGGAAAAAAAATCCTTTGTTTCATGTGTAAATAGGCTATTCTAACACAAAATAAAACTTCAGCCACTAAAAAAAAAAGAGAATGTAATTTTGCAGGAATTTTTTAAGTCCCTTAGTACATCTTGTTCTATGCATATTTGCAAACATGTCTCTCATTCTCTATATGTGTATACGTAGATATGTAGATGTCTACATATATATAGATATCTACATATATGTACATACATAGGAAGACACATACATATATGTTTATGATAGCAAAAAAATAAAAAACAAATAAAATCCACTGCAAGCAAGTTAATTCTACCTTGTACTGACCCTATATAGGATAAAGTATAAGTAGTGAAGTAGTAAATCTTCACAGAAGCAGACAACCTCAACTTTTTCCTGCAAGGCAGTTGATGGGTTTGAACAGTCAACTTCAAGGTTATCAGCCGAATGCTTAACCCATAGTACCATCTAGGCATACATCGGTATGTAGGTCTGATGGTGTTTCAAATCCACCAACTGCTCGACAGGAGCAAGATGAAACTGTCTGCACCCACAAAGATTTAGCCTTAGAACTTTAGGAACCGTTCTATTCTGCCTGTAGGGTCACTATGAGTTGGAATTGAATTGAAGAGGGTTTGATTTTGGGTTTAGGTAGTACAAATGGTTAAGCACTAGACTACAAGCGGAAAAGTTGGTCATTTGAACTCACCTAGCAATCTGCTTGGGAAAGGTCAATCCTGGAAACACACATGGGGTTTCCATCAGTTGGGATCAACTCAACAGTATATATAAAGATAGAAAAGGAGTCAATATGGAGAGAAAGAGAAAAAAAAACTTAAAAAAAAGCGAAAAGGAACTTACTTTGTGAGCTTTGATTCTGGCACATCCAAAATATGGAGTACTTTTGTTTGTAACACATGAGTTTGAGACATTACAGATAGTAGATAGATAGATATAGATATACTTATTTTAGTGAAAATACTTATAAACAAAGATGAAATAAATAGAAGAATGAATCTTTTTATATGCACCACATATTAACAATCCACTGTTCTTTTCCTATACAACAGATAATCTTCCTCCATTCTAATTCGATTACAAAAGTGGGAGTGAATGACTTCTGTCCAGCAGTGCCCAAGATGAAGAAGTCCTTATACAGTGCAATAAGCTTATTCAACAATCCAGTGAAGTACTGGGAAGTACAACCCGCAACATTCCGCTGTATTTTGAGTAGAATGAGTGTTCAGCTTGGAAACTTCAGAAAGTAAACATTGGTAATTCATAATATTCATTTAATATGTAATTAAAAATAATTACATTGAGAATAGGTAAACTCAATTAACAGTGGTGGCACTCCATACATATGCAAAAATCTATTCCCAAATATTAAAGTTATGAATTACATACCTAATAAGGCAAATCATCTGACTTATTTTATGACAAAACAATTATATCAGAATTTTGCAAAATTATTGGTACCTCAGGATTAAGAGAAGGATTACTGAAGTTTCCTTTTACATACAAATTATATTGCATAAATCTCAAGATTATTTCTTTCTCAGTAACAAATATTAAAGCCAGTAGGTTCTCAGCACTTTGTAATCAAATGTATTTTGAAAAGAGCTGTACTGTAAATGAAGTGCTTGACTTAGCAAAGCTTATGTACTCTCATTTGTTGGAAAATCATATGAAGAGCACACGTGACTTTGGCTTGTTTTTGGTTTCTTTAGTAACTTGAGTGCTGTTGTCGCGTGTACACACAACAGAACGAAGTGCCGCTCATCCCTGCACCATCCTCACAGTCGCTGTTATGCTTGAGCCTATGGTTGCAGCCTCTGTGTCAGTGCATCATGTCAAGGGCCTTCCTCTATTTCACTGCCCCTCTGTTTTACCATTTTCTTTGTCCATTTCTAAGGCTCGTATATTCTGATAACATGTTAAAGTACATGAGGAAAATCTCACCATCATTGCCTCTAAGGAGCATTCCGGCAGTACTTATTCCAAAACAGATTTGTTTGTTTTTTTGGCAATTCTTAGTACTTTCAATATTCTTTTCCAGCACCATAATTCAAATGTATTGATTCTTCTTCAGTCTTTCTTATTCAATGTCCAACTTTCACATGTATATGAGGCTACTAAAAAATACTATGGCTTGGAATAACTTGGGTAGTACTCCAATATTTCTAAGAATGTTGAAGATCATTTGATATAATCAAATTCAAATTCTCACATCTTAGTGCCTTACTAGCTTTACCTTTAAAAATAATTTCCTATAGTAATACCTTCAGTATGTGTTTATTAGCAACTCAACAGATACAATTCATAAGAGCTAGTTTTGGGATTATAATAGATCCTTTTCTTTTATAATTATCACCTAATTATAAAATCTGTAAAAATCTGTAATAAGTATTTGTATAATATTGGTAATGTTTTAATTGTCATAGTTATTCTAAGCTCATGTGACATGTCTATTGTTGGATTGTATAACATTGTATACAATGCTACAGGGTATTTTTGAAATATCCCATTTGGAATACCTTTGTCTGAAGAGTACAGATATTATTATTTTACACCAAATTTTCTCTTCAAAGAAGCACAGACTAAATACTTCTAAAAAAATATACCCCGTATAACTAATTGTCAAAGTACTAAATAAAATAGAAAAAATGGAAAATTTTGTTTAGGGTATGTTATGTATTTTTATTGGCATTCAAAATATGTTAAATAAAAGTTGAAAACAAAAAGAGTTGGAATTGAAATAATTGTATGAGAAAAATATTTGTGCTGTAGCTTAATATTTTCTTCTCTCACTATAAAAAAATGGTATGAGGATGTCTGACCCCCGTTTACTTCACAAGGGGGGAAGAAGGAGAATTAGCATAACCATTAACTGTTGGCCAATTCCTATGAAGTGGAGGTTCGTGCCCTCCATCTCTAACCTTCTTTACAAAGTTTGATATCAGCATCTCCCATCGCACTTTGTGTGTCTCTACTAGGTTTAATAATTCACTGCAATGTCCACACAGAATTCACACACAACACTCACAATTGGGAGGTTTATTAAAGAAGTTAAAAGGCTACAGTTTAGGATGAGAAATGCTTTGGATATGGTTCTCCCAATCAGGGCAGCCTCTTCTCAGCCATACCTCCACCTCTCATTTATAAGTTGGACTGTTGGCTTCTACCTTGATCAGTCAAGTATTACAAAGCTCCTTCAATAGTGCCAATAAGTGCCCAAAGGGCACTATACTCAGATATAAGCCTCAGCCTGGAAGATTCTCAGCTTCAGCTCCCAGAGTCAGCAAACCTAACTTCTCTGACTTTCTGAAGCACCTCATTCCACAAGTAAGCCTTCTGCTGGAAGGCACTCAGCTTTACTTGTTCCAAGGGACAGGGAAGTCTGTCACATTGTTGTCTCTGCCTTGTGTTCTTAGTTCTGTTCCCTTTGCTGTTACCATTGTTCCAGCACTTCACTTCACCTCTATCACTACTTCTCTAGTATCACAACTCTCTGTCTTGTGGTTCAAACTCCTTTTAATATATTCAAACCATTAAGTTTTATGCCATGTGAATTATATGCTAATAAAACGTTAAAAAAAAACAGATGTACAAGTACCCACAGTAAAACAAATCTACAAGACCAAAAATTGAGAACCAGAGATCTCAACTTGTAATGCAGACATTTACAAAGTAAAATGAGGTGATTGTGTAATTATAAAGGTTCCAAATGAAGAGTAAAAAAGTTCCAAGTGGAGAAGAAGGTAAGTTGATTTCAAGATAGATCATTTTAAACTTGGAGAGCCATTAATATCTACAAGATAACCTCAAATAATATTAATAGCCTTCTCATCAAGTAAAAGAGGGACAAAATGAATGATGTGGTTAAACACTAACCCAACAGTCATGAAAAAAAAAACATGACAGAAAGTTTCACTTACAAAATTAATTCAGCACAGAAAAACATGTTGAACTAAGAAATAAGCAGCACAAACAATATCTAATAAAATGACAGCAATAAATTCATATCAATCAGTAAATAGACTGAAAGTAAATTCATTAAATACACCAGTCAAAATACAGAATAACAGAATAAGAAAACAAGATCCATCAATATGTTATATACAAGAGACTAGTTTACACAGAAAAATAACAATAGATTAAAAACCGAAGGATGAAAGAAAATTTGTCAGGCTATGACAATCAGAAAAGTGCAGGAATGGCAATATTAATTTATGATAAAATAGAATTTAAGATAAAAATCAGCATAAAAGGCAAGGCTTATATAATTAATGATTGAAGGCTAACTGAACAAAAAGAAATAGCCATAATATATATGAAAGACCCTCAAAAAACAAAAATCAAACTCTAAAGGAACTTAAAAGAGAAATACACAACTGTGTAAAACTAGTAGGACATTTAGTAGAGAAAAAGAAAAACTAGACCTCATGGATACATACAGAACACTTCACCAAACAACAAAACAATCTTGTTGGGTACACATTGAACATTTACCAGAATACATCTTATGTTAGGCACCAAAGTCAGCTATCGATAAATTTTAAAACACAGAAATATTGCTAGGCATGTTCTCAGATCACAATGCTATGAAATGAGAAATCAGAGATAGGGTAAAGAAAATACAAAATATATAGATATTGAATAACATTCTGCGTAAATACAACTAGGTAATAGAAGAAATAAAATGTGAAATTAAAAAATGGCAAAACTGGATATCCATTTGCATAAAAATAAATCAAGATGTGTATCCTATACTGTATAGAACCTAGAACTATATAGATCATCAAGGAAAACATATGGACAAACTCAGGGTACCTAATGGCATAAATACATTATCAAACATAAAAAATTAAACAGAAGAAAAACTAGATGACTAAAACCATCTAAAAATTTCACTTAAGGAGTATAAAGAGAATCCACAGTTGGTGTGTTGGGTCGGGTTGACTAGAGAAACAAATCCAGTGACACTCATATGTGTGTAAGAGAGAGCCTTATATCAAGAAATAATTATATATTAAGGAAACATCCTAGCTAAGTCCAGATCAAGTCCAATATTAGTCCATAATACAATACTAGTCCTTAAATCCCTTTTCAGACCTATGCAGCCACATGCAATGATACTGAATCCAGGAAGATCACAGGCCATTGGGTACAAAGTTTTGTGGATCCAATGGTGGCAGAAGCATCACAGGGCTCTAGCAGGTTTCAGCGTGGCTGGTCAACAGGAACGTGGAGGCAAAGAGGGAGAGAAAAAAAGTGAGAGAAAGAAAAAGAGAGAGGGAGAGAGAGAGAGAGAAGGTTCCCAGGACCATCCTTATCAGAAGTTCAAGCCCACAAGAAGACACCATCACGCTGTAACCTAATTAACAGGCTAGACTCCACTCCTACATTTTTAAATCTTCAAGTTGACAGAAAATTATGTAACTACCAGAGCTGGGGAAGTAAATTTTGACCATTACATGTTGATCAAGGGATTGATTTCTAGAAAACTCCAACACTGTAACCGAAAAGAGATAAGCAATCCAATTTAAAATGGGCAAAGTGTATGACCCAGCAACCTCTCTACTTGGTATTTACCCTAAAGAAGAGCCATAGTATTAGCAGATAATTGTGAATCTGTGTTTATTGCAACACTATACACATTAGTAAGAAGATGAAAATAAACTAAAGGTCCATCAAAAAAATGGATAAATAATATTTGGTACATGCACAACAATGGGACATTACACATTGCTAAAGAATACTGAAGAAACTGTGAAACATTTCATGGCATGAATTAATTTAGAGGATACATGAGTAGGAACTGATTTGATAGCAATAAGTTTTGGTTGTGGTTTGGCTTGATGCTGAGTGAAATCATTCAATCACAAAAGGAAAGATAATGTACTAGACTCCAGTTACAAAAGAAAATAGCAAGATAAAACTTTTCATACCAAATGAGCCAACGATAATGAGGGCTAAAGTAGAGGGCAAATGTTTTGAGATTGATGAGGGCAACAGGTGTACATATGTGCTTGACTCAATGGATATATGTATGGACTGTGATAAGAATTGTATGAGCCCTCAATAAAATAATAATAAAAAAAAGAATAATGAGGGTAACAAATGTACAAATGTGCTTTATACAATTGATGTATGTATAGATTGTGATGAGTTGTATGAGCCGCCAATAAAATGACTTTAAAAAAACAAAAACAAAAAACCTTTTCATACCAAAAGCAACAGACTTTGAGGGATACCAAGAATGAGAGGGAAAGGGAAGGAAGGGGATGCAATAGACTACAGGGTAGACTGGTGTTAACTTGAGCAAAGGAGAAGATTTGTAAATGAATACAAATATGTCTATAAATGTAGTGAAGTATTGAGAGGGAAAAGTTATGAAAGCTTCCTAAACATAGCCAAAAACCTCAAAGGGACTCAGGACTATACAGTAGTCTCAAGAGACACCAAGATCAATTTGCACAACAAAAGCCACAAAGCCAATATTCTAAATCCTGTTTTGGTGAGTAATCACAGCAATCTTAAAAGCTCATCAAAAGATGACCAGCCATCTAAGGTACAATAAAGGATCACTCCCTATCTGAAGTTTAAAAAAAAAAAGTGTTGAAAATTGAAGGCACATGGAAATAATTAGCCCAACAGGCAAACATCAGTCTCTCTGACCTTTGGGCCAGAAGAAGTAGATAACACTCCTCTACCACTATCATCACCTGCTTTGAAAGGGACCACCTGAGAAGGTCATAGAGAGTGTGGGTGAAAAATGTGAGATAAAACTAATGAAAAAGACCACATTTACTTTACTGGTGAGATAGAAACTGGTGGAATCTCTGAGCATATGGCCCTTAATGCCTCTAAACTCACTTCAGTGGCTCAAATTTGAGCTAAACAATAGACAGGCCTCTAAAGGAAACAGTAACAGTAAGGAGATATGCACACTTTAAAATAACCATTTGAGATTGAAAGGGTAGCATCTGCCCAAGGGTAAATTTCAAAAGGGCTAGTAAAGAAGGAGGAATAGAAACACAGGGGGGAGGTGGGATAAGTAATGTTACATTGTGGGGTTTGAAATCAATGAGACGGAACAAAATGTTTATGAACTTTTAAATGGTTAAATGACAAGCTCTGTAAACCTTCACTCAAATTAAAAAAAAAAATTACAAGTAGAAACTTTAACTGCTGTAAACCCAGCAACTAAAATTGTCTTGCTGAATAAATATTATTTTCTGACTAACAAACCCATATACTTATTACCTTGATTAAATCTCAGTATAAAGAAATTTCCTTGCAGCACAAGTTACTTGGCTTTGAGATATTGCATCATTGTCATTCAATCTATGACCATAGAATAACCTATGATTTTGACTTAACTCAATGATCTCTCCAATTACTGAAATCATGGCAACCTAACTATAACAGTGACCTATCATAAACAATCATTTACAACACTTAATTTTCCTTTAAGGCCAACTAACCTCCAAAAAACCTAAACCATGCACAGTCCATGCCGACTTACAGTGAATCTGTAGAACAGGGTAGAACTGCCCTGTTGAGTTTTTTTTTAATCATTTTATTGGGGGCTCATACAGCTTTTATCACAATCCATACATATATCAATTGTGTAAAGCACATTGGTACATTATTGCCTCATCATTCTCAAAACATTTCCTCTCCACTTAAGCCCGACATCAGCTCCTCAGTATTTCCCCCTCCCTTCCCGCTCCCCACTCTCTCATGAACCCTTGATAATTTATAAATTATTATTTTGTCATATCTTACACTGTCCGACGTCTCCCTTCACCCACCTTTCTGTTGTCCGTCCCTCAGGAAGGAGGTTACATGTAGATCCTTGTAATCAGTTCCCCATTTCCACTCCACCCTCCCAGTATCGCCTCGCTCACCACTGATCCTGAAGGAATCATATGCCCTGGATCCCCGTGTTTCCAGTTCCTATCTGTACCAGTGTACATCCTCTGGTTTAGCCAGATTTGTAAGGTAGATTGGCATCATGATAGTGAGGGGGAAAGAAGCATTTAGGAACTAGAGGAAAGTTGTATGTTTCGTCATCGCTACACTGCACCCTGGATTGGCTCTCTCCTCCCCGCAACCCTTCCCTAAGGGGATGTCCAATTGCCTACAGATGGGCTTTGGGTTTCCACTACACACTCCTCCTCATTCAGAGTGATATGATTTTTTGTTCTGATGCTGCCTGATACCTGATCCCTTCGACATCTCGTGACTGCACAGACTGGTGTGCTTCTTCTATGTGGGCTTTGTTGCTTCTGAGCTAGATGGCTGCTTGTTTACCTTCAAGCCTTTAAGATCCCAGAGGCTACATCTTTTGATAGCTGGGCACCATCCGCTTTCTTTACCACATTTGCTATGCACCCACTTTGTCTTCAGCGATCATGTCGGGAAGGTGAGCATCATGAAATGCCAGTTTAATAGAACATAGTATCCTTGCATTGAGGGAGTACTTGAGTGGAGGCCCAATGTCCATCATGCTACCTTAATACTAAACCTATACATATATACACATAGCTCTATTTCCACATCCACATATATAAATATATTTACATATGTACATGCCTTTATTTAGACCTCTATAAATGCCCTTTGCCTCCTAGCTCTTTCCTCGATTTCCTTTTACTTTCCTCTTGTTCCACTATCATGTTCAGCCTTCATTTGGGTTTCAGTAATTCCTCCTGGTTACATTGCCCTTGGTCACACCCTACCAGGCCTTCTA